GCTGGGGTGACAACAAGCGCAAACGGCCCACCGACGCAGAGGGGGCAGAAAGGAAGAGCGCCCCTCCGTGGGGGCCGAGTTGCTGCAGGTGGAAAGGGTGAGAAGCGATAGCGAAGTGCGACGAATGATCCAGTCAGCGCACGCTGGAGGAGAAGAAGTCGGCACTGCACCTGGTGGCGCGCGCCGGTTTGAGGCAGCAGGACGAGCAGACATGGTGAAGGACGGTGGACAAGACGGTGGAGACATGGGACAACATGCACGCACGGGGCTGGTGCCCCCGGGAGGCAACGGAGTCATCAATCAATCGTAGGACGGCGTCGGAAGACAGGGTCGGACGAGGTCGGCGTCTGCCGTCGTCGTCATGCGTCGGGCCCCAGTGCCGATTGAAAGCGTCAGGCTAGGACAGGCGTCGGTCGAAGGCGTCGGCGGCGTCAGCTGTGAGGTGTCGGAAGAAGGCGCCCCTGACCATCGATGCCCGTTGCGCCGTGGGAGGTGCCCAGAGCGTCGTCAATGCAGAAAGTGAGGGCTTAGGCGCCGTACGCGAGGGTCAGGCGCGTGGCCCCGGGCGGGACGCGCGGCTCGCAGTGCTCGCGCGCAGAGCCTGAGGCACCGATCCGCTGCCAACAGGTTGTCGGGCCAGGGGAACCCCTTCATCCGAAGCCCACGGGGTCCGAGGGCGGGTCGGAGGTCGGTAACTGAAGTGGGGAGAACCAGGCAGGTCGCTAGCGCCGAAAATCAGATGGCGCGAAGGCCGGGCGGGGTCGGAGGCCAGGATCGCCGTCGCTGGCGGGACGGCCCGGTCACGGCAGCGGGCGCCAGGGGCGTCCCTCTGATGGCCTGCGCCTCCTCCTCCCCTCCTCCCCCTCCTCCTCCGCCCCCCCCCCGCGTCCCGGACGGCAGCCAGTGGGCTCACAGGAGCCTCGCGGCCGGTCCCGGAGGCGTGCCACGCCGAGGGGCCATGTGAGGGCGGGAGCAGGGCCCGCGGCGGGTCGTGGGCCTTGACGTTGCCGTTGCGGCAGCGCGCTGCGAGGTGGAGCAGCACGCGGAGGAAGGTAGTGAGATCTCGGATCGCGCTGGCCCTCCAGGCAATCCCGCGAAGGAGGATCCGACGTGGGACGCACAGGAGGAGAAGAACGCCAACCCCCTTGCGGCACGGGGCGATGAGGAGGGCATGGATGACTGCGTGGTGTCTGGCTGTCGTTTGGGCCTGGCGGCCCTGTTTGGAGGTTGGAGGTTCGAGTGGTGCTCGGCTGCCGCTCAGTGCAGGGTCGCGGGAGAGTCACGGCGGGGAGGCGTCGGGCAATGGCTGCCTGGTCGTAGGGCGTGCGTCGGTCGGTCGACGTGCGGTCCGCGGACGTCGGCGGCGGGCGTCGGCGTGCTGTCGTCTGACAGTCGGCGGACCGACGTCGGAAGGGCGGCGGGTGGTCGTCGTCTGTCGTCGGACGGTGGTCTGACGGTCGCCGGCGGATCGTCGTAGTCGTGGGACGTCGTCGCCATCCCAGTGTCACCGAACCTGATGGCCTCGGCGGGGGCGGGATCGGCACCAGCAGGGGCGTGGTAGGAGTGGATAGGCGCGGCAGGGCGTTGCTGGTCGGGTCGAGGCGCTGCTGGGTGGGGGAGGGCGCCGCCTGACGTGCCTGGTCGCGGCAAGGCGTGAGAAGCTGTTGGTGGTGGCACCGCAGCCAGGATCGCAGCGCTAGGTGTGCAGTTTGGGTGGTCACGAGCCATCGCCGCGTGCGCGGGGAGGGGTGGCGTGTGCGGGTGCCGTTGCAGCAGAGCGGCGGTGTGCTGAGAGCTGCTGAAACCTTGGAGGATCGTCGGTGTCCTCCTTGGCGTGCGGCGCGAGGCTCGGTGCACGCGAGCCGCGGGCCTGGTGGCTGCCGAGGGTGCTCGGCGCGACACTCGGAGCGGCGCAATACGAACCATGGGGGTGACGGACGCAGCGGGGCACAAATGACCAACCAGAGGGCTACCGTGCGGATGTGGGCGAGGTCCGCGTCTGGGGAACCGTTGCGGTGCCGCTCGTCGGGGGGCCATTCGGGAACGCACGGTAGTGGACCCGAAATTGAACTCCAGGAGGCGGGTAAGCTAGCAATCAGCCTGGGCGCTCGGTTGAAGGGGGACCAGAGGTTGCGGAGCAATTGCAGCATGTGGCCGGAGAGGCGGAGACGGCCCGAGGCGGCTGCAATTCGCGTGCTGTTCAGGTCTGGTCGGGGTGTGTCATGGAGGCTAGCGCCACGTGGGGGCGAGCGTCAGTCGGTCGATCGCGGACGGTCGTCGGCGGTCGGGGGTCTGACCGTCGGCGGACGGTCGGTGGACGGACGTCGTTTGGGGTCGGACGGCCAGCGGGCGGTCGACGTGCGGTCGTCGGTCGGGTCGGCGTCGCCGAACGAAGCGCCTGACGGTCAGCGAACGGTCGTCGGACGTCGTGGGCTCCCGTTGGTCGTCGGCGGACGCTCGATGGGAGGGTCGCGATGGACTACTTCAGGAATGCAGGATGTAGGGAGGGCCCGGTTGCCCGTCTGGGGATTTTCAATGGATATCGGCCGACACGCGGAGGAGGAGTCAGAAGGAACGACGACAGGAGGAGTGGCTGCAGCATGGGCCTGGTGGCCCCGCGGACGCTCAGAAGGAAGGTCGCAATGGACTGCGGCATGGGCGTCAACACGGGGACTGGCTGGAGTTTTGGCTTGACTCTGAGCAGCTCGAGTGGCGGTTGGCGGACTCTTGACGGGAGGGTTGCGATGGACAGCGGCGGGATGGCTGGCTGCACTGGCGCCAATGGTAGCCAGCGGACTCGGTGAGAGGGTCACACAATGAACGACAACGTGGGATGCAGATTTGGCCTGGTGGCCATGAGCAGTTCCAGTGGCAGTCGGCGGGCACTTGTCGAGATGGTCGCGATGTTCGGGCAAATTTGGGCTGGCTGCAGCTTCGGCCTGGTGGCCTCCCTGGGCAGCGGGCTGGAAAGACCGTCGCAAACATCACGTAGGGCACCACGAAAGTCACCACGAGGATCCTGAAGGTTTCCATGGAGAACACCACTACGATGATGAGGGTCACGCCACCATGGCCAGCGGGGGGAGGCGTAGGAGTTCGGCACGAAAAGCGTAAATAACGTCGCGACCGTCGCGAGGATCCACTCGGAGTGCCTGAAGCTCATGTGCTGCGAGGTCTTCGTGTAGATCGGCTGGACGATCGGGAGGATCGTGTACGGGTGGATCGGGAAAAACCTGGTCGTCTAGAGCGGGAACTCGAAGTGTATTGTCTTCGTGATGGACTGGTGGAAAGCGGCGCGCAAGACGTGGCAGCCGAAGCACAGGGCGCAAAACACGGCGCGTGGCAGCAGCCGCCCTACGGAATCGGACACGTCGGGACGCCGACGTGGTTGGCCACGCAATGGTCACCGCTCTGGTGAGCCGGTTGGCAAAACACCCTCTGGAGTGGTCCTACTGGGAGATTCTCAGGCTACCGCTCGATGTCGACTGGGTGGAGGATGCGTGCTTGATCACGAAGTCCCCGACGGAGGATGCGGAGCGATAGCTCGCACGTGGCCGCCAAGTACCTCGAGCGCGTCGTTGTTGTCGGACCCGCCTGATAGGTGATCAATCCTGATCTGCCCGTCACTCGGGGCAGTGACGCCCACAAGTTGTGCGGGAGGAACAACTTCCCCTCCAAAAAGCGGCGATCACGCAGAAACTCTTGACATTTCTGCCACAAGTGCCGGAACGACTGCTGGGGGTGGTTGCAGTAATTGCAAGGGTGAGTGCGCTGCCAGCGTGTGGATATAGACACTGCACCATTGCGGTCAATCATGAAGAACTTCTTGTCGTGGTCGTCCAGCGTGGAGTGTCACCAGGTGAAGACTCGATGCGATGAGGTGTCGGTGTCGGCGCTGTCCACCTCCTCGGTGTCGCGCTGGGCCTGTCGTACTTGCTGGATGCAGCGGATGCGCGCTACGGCGCGCAACGCGTGGGCTACCTTCTTGTGGGTGGTCCAGGAGCGCCGGGAGCTGGCGCCCCGGATGGTCGCGTCACTGCAGAACGCGGTGGTCCTCGGTGGGAAACACCTCGAGCTGGATGCCGCGGGTGTCGTCTCTGTACCTGATTGGCTTCAGGCCAAGGGACTTGGCGAGCGCCGCATCGGCGCTCTCTACGAAGTCGCTCCAGACCAGCGTGGGGAGACGGCGTGGAGGCTTTGGAGGGCATGCGAATACTGCGGGCGGATGCAAATTAGCGTGGAGCGTCCTGAAGCGGCCAAAACAATTCCAATTGCACCGTGCATTGGAAATGGCGCGGAACAAGCGCCTCCTGTAGCCCGCCAGGACAGGAGTCAGCAGCGGCGCTGCCCAGGTCCAGTGTAGACGGATGTCGGCGATGGCCGGAGCGGCGGCGCAGGGCGTGACGGCGCGAGAGGGGGAGGAATGGGCAGTGCAGATCGGTTGCGCCCAGCCTGCCAATGCGGGTTTGGGAGGACCGCTGGGGGTCTGCACCTGTGGCCGCGCTCTGCCAAGGGGACTCAGGGCCAGGCTGAAGGGGGGGGGGGAGGAAAGGGGGGGTTCGCGAATCAGATCGCGTTGCTGGTTTTCCCATCGCCCAGTGCGCGAATGTATCGAGGGAAGCGCCCGGCGGCGGAGCCGACAACGGCTGCATGCAACAGACGTCGTACCCCCCCCGTTCCCGTTCGCCTCCTTGTCTGACCAGATCCTCTACCTTCGAGAGGCACTCTCGAGAATTCATCCATGGGAATCGGCTCTTCGGCTGCGTGCCGCACCAGAGGTGCAGGTCCACGGCGACGAATGATCGACGACGACGACGACTGACGCCCTACAACGTCGTCGTGTGTCGTCGTTCTTCGATCCTCGTTTGCCATTCGTCGTCGGTCGTGCGTCGTCGTCGTTCGCGGTTCGTCGTCATTCGTCGCCGCCGTGCTACGTCATGCCGACGTGTTACGTGTTGGGGATCGCCGCAGTCCTCGCACAAAGCTGCGGCCCCTCCCGCCCGGCGGGGTGACGTCGCCCTTGAAGTGCGGCCGCGCTGACGAGCACCCGTCGCGCGCGAGGTCGGACCTCCAGAGGGGGGGTGAGAGAGAGAGAGCGAGAAGAGATAGAGGGAACGAGACACAGAGGGATGTGGAGAGGAGGGTGAGAGATGGCCCTGGACAGCCTCCCCCCGCTTCCGAAGATGGCCTCCATACGGCCCGAGATGCCCCCAAGACGCCCCAAGAGGGCTCCAAGAGACCCTCCAACGAGGCAAACAAACACATCGATCCCCAAACATCTTTGAATAATTTTCGCGTCCTCGCCTTTGATGGCTTCCGACAGTCCAGGACGGCCCCAGAGGCCTCCAATCTATTACAAAGACGGCCCCGGTAACCCCCATTACTGCCCCACGACGGGCCAAAACGGCCCCAAGAAACCCCCAATAGGGCACCAGGGGTCTCAAGACGGCCCAGTAAGAACCCCAAGACGGGCTCGGAAGGCCAAGCAACCACTTAGAGGCCCACACATGCCCCTCAGAGGCGTCCAGGAGGCCCCACGAGGCCCCCATGAGGCCATCATAGGCCCCCACAAGTCGCCAGGAGGCCCCGAAGAGGATTTCCTCGTCCCCCTCCTTGGCCTACCTCTCGTCCTTCCCTTTCCTCTCCGCCTTCTCCTCCTCCTCCTCCTCCTCCTCCTCCTCCTCCTCCTCCATCTCCTCCTCCATCTCCATGCGTTTCCCCTATAGATAACTCCTCCCTGTCGCACCCCCAGACGCGTCGGCAGGGCAGGCCGAACGTTTCGCCTCAGACATCCTCTCAAAGTATGATCCTGAAGCTTGAGCTTCGCAGCAACCTCAAAGATGGAGGGCAGATCGTTTCCAAAATGTGGCTCTCCTCTGACCGCGCACATGTTTACCTCGCAGCGCTGCAGAGGCAATCCTCACGCGCGTCCGAGCGACGCCGGGGCACGAGGTCACGAATCAACCCGCATGCAAGAGGGAGCGGAGGGCAGGCGGGCGGCCGCGGGGAGGACGGGGGGGGGTGCGCGGGGCCCGCTCACGCGGCGGGGCAGCGCCGAAGGGCGGGAGGCGGCCTGGCCCAGGTCCACGCTGGCAGCGGCTGCGGGGCGGCGTCGCAGTGCCCAGGGCGGGGGCCAGCCGCCACGGAAAGGGCGAGGCCCAGGCAATTGGGAGGAGGCAGGCCAATGCGGCCGAAGACCAAGTAGCCGACGGAAGGAGGAAGGAGGACTGCGAAAAGGGCAAGACCATCGGTGACGCAGGGGCTGTAGCGCTCGCGTGCCTCGAGGCATGGTGCGCAGGAGGGGGGCGGGCTGCCAGCGGCCGGCGCGCAGCAACGCGTCCTGGGGCGGTAGCTGAAGAAGCCGAGCCGCTCGCCGACCAGCCAAGAAAAAAGGGGGGCGTGGCAGCGCCAAAGGCGGCCAGAGCGGTAAAGCGGAAGGTGAACCACAACGGCGGCGACCCCCCGAGTGGGCAGCGGTCGCCGCGGGCAGGGGCGGAGCCCCTGCCGACTGCACGGGCTCCGGGTGCTGGGTTGAAAGGCTCTCCGCAATTACTGGCGGCCAGGTAGCGAGCGGTCCACGCCGGGCCCGAGCTTTTGGAGCAGCCCCCTCCGGCCAGGGTGCACGCATCGCCAGGGCGAGGGCCCCTGAGTTGGAGGGTCCCGCGGATCCAGCACATCCACCTAACTGTTGCTCTTGCTGGTGGGGGCTGTACACATGCAGTGCTGCAGGCCCCAGCGGCCCCTTGCGGGCCGTCTGGGCCTCCCTGCTGCGCAGGCCGCGTAGGCGGGATTCATCTCCTGCGGGCCAGGTGGGCTCACTGTGCCACTTGCCTCCCCGCGCCTTGTCGGACGTCTGCACTCGTCTGTTCTGCTGCTGCCGCCAGACAATGTTCTAATATACTTCCAGGAGAGCGCGCCGCGCGTCCCATTCAGGCGGTTGACCACCTCCGCCCGCGTCTCAATCCTCTTGTCCTGTCGGCGCCGTTGCGGTTCCCACTGGATTTCGGCCCTGGGTTTACGGTGCGGTCTGGGCGTTCCCTCCAAATCCTCCAACCGGTGGCGCCCCTGGCGTCACCCACTGCCCAGGTGGTGCGGCCCCAGTGGCGGTCGCGCCCTTGGTTCCGATGCGACCAGCCGCCAGACCAACTAGCCTCCCCTCGCCCCGGCAGGGTAGCTAGGTCTCCAGGGCGTCCCGATCTCGTGCGGCAAGTCTGCGACTGGGGGCCTGGCTGTGCTGTCAGCCGCGTGCGCGGCTTCCAAGGCGAGATTGCTTGCTTCGCCTCTGGTGTCCCTGCAGGGTTGGCGAGGCGCAGCTCACTATTCCCATCCCGGTTAGCCATGAGCCGCCAATGCGGACGATGACGTGGGTGCCTGGTGCGCCTCCTCGACTGGCCCGAGCGCCAACCCTTTCGCTGCGTCCGGGAAGAGACGGTCTCCCTGCGGATCAGGCAGCGCGTGCCAGCATGCGGCGCGCGCGTCGCTCGCATCGTCCCTGGTGAATCAACGCGGCCCTGGTGGGTTCCAATGACTCGGGGCTTGTTTGCGGGGCGGCAGCCCGCTTGCGCTCTGCCTCCAGCGGCCTGCCCTCGCTCGGGTTCTGCTGCGGAGCTGTCTGGGCAATCGCTGGGTGGAGGGGGGCTGGCGGGGCGGAGGACCACGCTCTGAGGGAAGGCTCGGGCTGCGGCTGGCGCCTCTGTTTGAGTGCCCGCTGTCCTCGGGGCCTGTGTCTGTCAGCAATGCCTCGCGGATGGCCAGCGCGGGTTCGGTCAGCAATAATGCTTTGCGGCTGGCTGCCCTGGGGGTTGATTGGCCTTCTCCCCTTCTGGTGCCCTTTGCCAGACGGCTTGAACGTCCCGTGGTGGCGCGTCTGGTCGGCGGAGCTCCGCTGAATCCTTGTCCCGCTGATCTGTTTCCTGCGCGACTGGGGCGGCGCCTGTCAGTTCTGGCACAGGCGGGTGGCGATCCCTGGCCAGTACGGGGCTGCAGTCTCCTTCCAGCTGCGCTGCGTCGGCGCGTCGGATGCCCAGGCTGTCCTGGAAGGCCGCCAGGGGGTCGGTGTCGTAGCGCAGGGGATCAGTGCCGGTGCTAGTGGCTTGGTTCCCAGAAGCTCGCCCAGGCCTGCTTGAACTAGTTGCCGACTACTTTGGGCCTGCCCATGACCGACACTCCCAGGCGATGATGTCTGCGAGCGCGGCGCGCCTACCATCGATGGCACTTGTCGGGTATCCCACTGGGCGGTATGTCGCTTCCGTATACCTGTTCGAGGAAGGTCAGGCGCTCCGCTCGCCCCCAGCAACGGGCGCCCTCCGTCCTTTGCCCGTGCTTCCCCGGTTCCGTGGCCCGCCTTATGTCGATGAAGCCCCGCCATGCCTCGTCGATGTCGTAGGAGCTTCTGGGCGAAATCCACCGTGCTGTTGGCAATGTCCTTGTCAAACCTGTTCTTTCTCATGGAAGCCCGGATTGTGTCCGCGGCTTCCAAGTCGGTGACGTTGCTGCGTTTCAGGCCGGGGAGCGCTGGAGGCGGCAGCGGCGCAATGCCGGCCAGCGCCGCTGCCGGTTTGTCGGGCCTCGCCAAGAACTGGGCGCGGGCCTCGCGCTGGATGCCGGGCGCTTGGTGCGCCGGCCAGGAGGCGCCTGGCTGCTGGAGGGGGCATCCGTGCAGCACCTTGGGCCCCATAATCTGCAGAGGAGGCTGCCAGATCGCCCCAGTCCAGCCGCGCGGGCACCTTGGCGACGCCTCTGGGAACGGCTGGGCAGAAGTCGTTGCAGGCGGCGCGGCCGTTCTCTGTCTGGCGGATGGCCCAATTCACCGAGTGCGCATGGCGGAACTGCCAGCGCGCCCCCTCCCAGGCCCACGCGTCCATGTCCAGGTTGCCCGCGGCCCTTGCGCGCCCTGCCTCCCGCGAGGTCTTGGGGAAATTCCTTAGTTGGTCTTCTCCAGCGGCCGCGGCCTGGCAGGGGCCTGGAACCTCAGTGTAGGTTGATGGCGGGGCCGAAATTGGCCCAGACGTAATTGACCAGGCAGGTTGACCAGTTCGGGCCTTGCAAACCTGATGAGGTGGCGGGAGCTGCGCGGGGGCAGCGTTCGCAGGGTGCAGGCATTCGGTAGGACTGGAAGGCCGCTGTCCCGGAAGTCGGCCCTCGGCGGTCCGGCCCAGGCCTGGCTGGCACGGTCGTCTGCCCGTGGGCGCCCGCCGAGCTCGATGCCAGGGGGGCGCTTCCTGCGCGCCGCGCGGGGGCTTGTGGAGCTGTTGGTTCTCCTCCGCTTGCCCTGTGGGCTGCGCCGCCACCTTCCACTCGGGCAGTCATCTGGGGCGTTCTGGGCGCTCCACCTTGGCGTCCTTCTCGGCGCTCACCTGCGGACGTCCCGAATCGCGGCTGGGCTTCGCTAGTGGCACCCTGCGTGGCCCCTGGCGCCCTGTGGGGGGCCGGCGCCGGTCTCCGCCCCCGCTCCAGTGACTGTCTCCGCTCGCCACGGGCCCGTGGGTCGGCTCCAGGCCGCGCGGTGGGAGCTACTCGGCGGCGGCCCCGCCGTCTGCGTCCAGCGCGGCCTTGGCCCTTGTCTCACGGTCGGCCTGAGCAGGTGGCCGGACTTCTTGGCGTCAGCGCCCAAGAGGTTGGCTGCGTCCAGGTGTTTGGAAAGCGTCTCCCAGATCTGCAATGGTTCATGGCTGGGGTCGACCTCCAGCGTGGTGGCCTGCTGCGCCCAATGGAGCTCGTTCCCCAGGTCATGGATGCTGGTGGTGGTGGGCACTGAGGCGGCTACCAGCGGGTTCATTCCCAGTCGCGCTGCCGGGCCGACCATGGGCCGCGAGGAAAGGTCGGGCGGGCGTGCGAGGACCCCGCCCCGCGCCGGGATGGACCGAAGAGCAGATGGCCGCGCGCCCCAGATGTCCACGAGGCACCTGGCGCAGGACCAGTCGGCGTTCACGGCCCTCGCCATGCATGCGTTGCCCCTATCCGTGAAGCACGGGCGCCCGCGCGCTAGGTCCCCGGTAGAAGCGCCGGTGTCATGCCGAGGCAGGTCGGAGCGGAAGGCGAACATGCTGGGGGGAGGGCTGTCCTGCC